TCTTTGCCTCCAAGGAGCAGACTGGTTTCACACTCTCCAGACCCTCGATTAGATTGACTCAGTGACTGGAGTAATGGGGGTAGGTATTTTGGAGACAAGTAAGGCTGGCTCAGGATAGAGCATGGTTCAGAGCTGTTGTACATAGGGGCACTATGAGTCATAGGCAACTCAATGGCATGTACCACCACCACCACCACCACCACCACCACCACCACTGGAGCTAAGTGAACTAATTCAGTCTCAATAGGGACAAATACTGTATTGGGCCATTACTGTAGAAACAGAAAGATAATTAAGCATGTCTGAGGATCCAAGGGGAGGAGAGTAAGAGCAGAGGGCCGAAGATGGGCAGGGAGGAAATATTAAGGTCACACAATTTGTTGGGTGGGAGGAGAGGTAGATAAAGGAAATAGAGAGATCTAGCAGGGATCTGGACAGAAAGAGTAATGGTAGGCAAAGTTCAACAGTGATTAATTTTATAAAAGGTAATGAATAGGAGTATGAAACACAATGAATGAAGAAGAGTGTGAAACACAAGGTATATGAATTCTGTAAGCAAGGCAATAGAAAATAAAATTTTATTTTTTATTAAAAAAAAAAGTAGGTAGTTGGGAGAAATCTCTACCAAAAGATATTGTTCCACCTCTATTCCAAAAAAATCATGCAATCAATGGATTAATAATTGGTTTCTTATGAAGTGGTGACAGAAGACAGAATACAGATACTTTTGTGTTTGGGGTTGTCTTCCTTTAAATAAAGATTTTCCTGGTGGTACAGATGGTTAGCTGAGCTAGGCTGCTGAATAAAAGATTATAGGTTTGAGTTCACTAAGAAGCACTTTGGTTTAACAAACATACTTAAAAAAAAAAAAAACCCCAAAAACAAAAAAAACCAAAACACTAAAAACAAAATCCCGACCCTTGAAAAGTATATGGATCAAAGAGAAAAAGCAAACTGTGGGAGAGGGGCAGAAGGAAAGTGCAACAATGAATGAATGGAAATCCAAACTCTCTGTAAACTTTCATTAAAACTAAAAATAAAATTAAAAGAAAAAAGAAAAAGAAAAGCATATGGAACACAGTTTGTAGACACAGAGTTCTATTGATCAAATCAACTTCATAGCAACTGGCTTTAAATTAAAGGAGTTGAAGGAAGAGAAAAACCATTAACTAATCTAGGACATCTAAAACATCATATATCCAAATTGAAATTGATCATAATCCTTTTAAATTACCCTTTTCCAATTATGTCACTGATTTATATTCCTTTTTTCTGTTGCTGGGAGTAGTATTCTTTATTTACTAAATGGATAAAATCATACTGTCTATGGAAAATTTTTTTCTGATTAAATACTTCTGATTAAGCTCAATATGCTCATATTTACTGTCTTTGCTCAGAAATAACAATGTGCAAGGGTTATTGATTAAACCCATTCTTCACTCTGAGACAGAATGAACAAGAATGGATTGTTCACAAGATGATGTAATTTTTTATCTGTACATAAGTACCTTTTCAATAATCTCAAAAGCACAAATAATCCATAATACAACAATGTAGTCTCTAAGTGGAGATGACTGAGATTCTAACATCTTTTGGGGAGAATGGCTATCTGTGAGGCCAGTCTCTGAAAAATCCCCAAAACCAGTTCTTCCATCTCCTTTCCCTTCTATATATGTCACTTTGTAACACTCTCAAGGAAAAGTTGTGAAAGGAATGATAATTTTTCCAGGTTAGAATTCTGAATCTAACATTGGGTCAAATCCAACATTTGACCACTCAAGATTTTCAAGGTTCCATTAAGTTTTTAACAGGAGCTCCACATGAATTACAAAGGAAAACAACTTGGGAGTGTCAAGTATCTTTTAAAAGTCCTTCCAACTTACTTTCTTAGTGTAGAAACTCTGAGCCCATAAGCCAAAGCCACAGATTCACTGCCAGTGATGAGGTATTCTTTAATTTTAGGACCCACTTTCTAACCTTTTCCACTTGTTTCAAAGTTTCTTATGCACCTGTCAAGGGAGGGGTCAAGCGACATAGTAATGCTATATCAGCACAATTTTTATCTGTTTTACTAGAAAAAATACTCAAAGTACATGTTTTGTTATTTAAAAAGTTTTGCTCAAGGCATTTTACATATATTGAGGGAATTAATTATTAAAGGAACTATTGCTGTGTAACAGGATTTCTAAGCGTTAAGTGTCATTTTAGAGTCATGATCAATGGCAGAAAAACAAAAAATTATAAACTTCCTAACAATTCAGAGTTTCTTTGACTACTACTAGGTTAGAGATTCAAATTTCAATTATTCAAGGTAACAAGTAGCAAAAATCATAATTAATTAAACTGACAAATAATTCAAAATCTATCTAGCAAGGTAAAGCAAATAATTTAAAGAAAATGCTGAGTAAAAAGTGTTAGAAAAAAAGAGTTGAGGAAGAGAAGGGAGGAAAGAAGTGAGGGGGAATAAGAGAGAGAAAAAGAAAGTCAGTCTGTCTCAAGTAGTGAACAGACCTTTATTAGTAGGCCTAAGAGGGACACCAGGTTAGAGCAGAGATAATCAGAACAGTTTCCCTTTTTAGGAGCTTTCTGGGACACCTAAAGAGCATATTAGTTTGCTCTGGAATTTGTGGGCAGGGGTCCTGTCAATGTGTGATCCAGCCTAGGGCCTTATCAGGATCCAGGATCCTCATTTTTTTTTTCAAATCAGGTTTTTTAGAAGAACAGTCAGTCCTGAGAATAAGGCCTGAGGATAGCTGACATTCTTCATTCTAAAGTACAGGTACTTATGTACTTACAGTCTAGTTTAGGAACTAACAGTTATGAACTTCTAATAAGGCAAGATAAAAATAAAACAACTGAACAAAACAGAAAGAAGCCCAGCAGCTACCAAATTACTAATGTTGTTAGGATGCTGCTGAGATGGAACCAACTCAAATCAGAAAAGACCCACAGCTGGTGGGTTTTCAGGGACAGTAAACCGCACAGGAGGAGACTGTCCATCCTTCTCCTAAGGGGTAGCTGGTGGATTCAAACTGCAAGTCTTAAGATTGAAAGCACAGCTCTTTAGCACTAGGCCATGCAAGTTCCCTACACCAAGCCTTAAATTCACCTAAAAAAACTCCAAAATTCTGACAAAGAGAATCACATTTTACAGACCAGACTAAATTTCTTGATATATTTCCCCGTACAAACAATTCTAAGTATAAAGGGCAATAAGGCCCTTTACTACTGTCCCCAAGATACCACGCTCATAAAGATTCACAATTAATGATGACATCTAGTGGTAAGAAAACACATTTTCCTTATGTTACCTGAATTATACCTAACAGCAAATCTAAAACGAAAGACATTTCCAAACCCTCACAAAAGATTAATTAAACCATTTAATAACCATCTACCAATTCTAAGCAAAGAAGGGATAAGAGAATAGTTTTCCATTACTAACAAAGATGCAATGCTACCTCTGCAAACAAGCCTGGCTGTAAAATTTTACCCTAAGGGACATGGTCAGGAAGAACTCCTTATGAACAATCTGTTTGAAAATACAAACGTGTACCCTTAAATGGCTAGACAGATGACTATTTTAAAAGAGCTGGATATTTCACTTGAAAGATGTAACAATAAATTCTGGAAGGTGTTTTATTAAATGTCCCTTAGGCCAGGCTGGTAAGTTCTCCATTAAAAATGTTCTTCAATTTTAAAAACGAAATGGCTCACAAGCAAGAAAACACAGATATCCTTAACACTTGGAAAACTGAATTGTGACCATTCCAAGCTTTACAATGCTTTTGTCTTTCTGAATGGTTCAACTCAAACAAATGTCATGCCTGGTTTCCAGACACTCCTACAAATGCAGAAAGTGAATCTATATCTAAGAGGAAAAGGTTATTCATTCTCTGGACACACTGGAAAGAACATTTCAAGCTGTAGCTTGAAATATGAAGTTTTCAATGGAATTATGAATCCTGAAGACTAGCATGGTCGAGCCATTATGCTGATTAGGAAGAAAAACCTGGTTATCAGTTTGAATTAAGTTTGTTACGTTTTCTTTAAAATGTATGATTTCCTTTAAAAAATGCCATTAAAATAAGCTCTCAACGGGAGGTGTGCTTCCCAAACACTGATGAATAAAACACACCACACTCAGAAAAATGTCCTTGTCCCCTTAAAAACTAACTGATCACAGAACAAGTTATCACTTCGAAATGTCCACCACCTTCAACCTCTCTCAGCCCCTCAAGTCACCGAAAGCAAGCAAAACACCTGACGGAACACTTACCCAACCTCTGGGGAGAAGCCTATGAATTCTAAACATCATGGACTGCGCTAGCACGGTGCTAAGGTATGAAAACTAGTGAGAGGCAGTACGTGAAGCACTCGGTAGAAGATTTGCCAGCAAGAAAGGACAGGTAAGTGTCCAGGGGGCAAGTAGCTTCACGTGACCTAAGAGTCAAGGAGTGAAGGCGGTTAGGGGCAGAGAGGCTGAAGTTTAGTGGTCATTTCCCAGGGCCTCCTGGTCACTAAGGAGGTGGGTCACGGGGAGGCGATGGAGTTCCAATCCCCCACCTGAGCCCCGGGCTTTGGGTGACCCGCCTAACGCTGCTTTCTGCACAGGAAACTTGCGTGTATGGGGACAATAGCTCGTGGGCGAGGACCGCTACTTCGGGTCTCCTCCCCGCGGCTGTCCCGGGGCTGGACGGTGGGCGCCGACAGCGAGGTGCCCAGGGAGGACTCCTCCACCGGCCCCCCCAGCCCGTTTCCGGGTGGGGGCACCGGGGTCTCCCTTCAAGCCGGGCTCCCTGCTCGCCTTGCAGTGGAAAGTGGGGTCCCAGCCCTAAACAAAGGGACGCGGCCCACTCCGCTGACAGATGCCAAGGGAGCTTGGGGCGGCCGGGCTCTCCAGAGGCCCCATCCCCGGGGACAGCGCACCCCTCGTCTCTTCCTCCTCAGACCTCGCCGGGGGACAGGGCGAGGGATCCCGCAGGGCTGGGGGGCCTCACCAAGCGGAGCTGGCTGATTTCGTCGTAGGACATAAAGCTGAGGATGTTCTCGATGGCTACGATGGGCAACGCCACCAGCGTGTTGTTTTGAGGCAGCTGGTCGGGAGCAAGTACCGGGGTTGGGGGTGCCTGGGAGCCTGGGTGCGAAGGCTGGGGCGGGGGCACAGAGGGCTGTCGCTGGGCAGAGCCGGCGGTCGAACAGGAGCCGCCGTCGCCGTGGCCGCCGCCTCCTTCCTCAACCATTCGCTCCTCCGACGCGGCCGCCATCTTGGGAGTTTGATTCCCTCCTTCCACTGCAAGGGGAACGGAGGCGCTTCCTGTGCGTCACTTCCGCCTCCCCTGCGCGCGCCGCCGTCCAGAGGCGCCATTGGGAAGGGGGCGGAGCCTATGAGATGAGTGACAGGGAGAGACCGCAAAGGAAGAAGCATCCTGCCAGAAGATGCTCCTTACAGGGTCTTTTTCTCTACAGTTGGAAACGACTTGAGGATAAAGGGATCCTAACTGTTGAAGTAAACTAAATAAATAAAGGTGCAGTTTTCTTCAAGAACTTCCTGACAAAGGGCAATAAAATAATATTGCCGTGAATTGTAGGGGGACTGATGAAGCTAGACAATCACCATTTTCAAGCACAGTAATGATTGACTTGTTGTTGGTATGTGCCCTCAAGGCCCTTGTAATTCACAACGATACTATGCACAATAGCTCTGAACCCTGCTCTATCCTGAGCCAGTCTCACTGTCTCCGAAACACCTACCCCATTACCCCAGTCACTGTCAACCCATCTCATCCAGGGTTTTCCTTTCCTGCGCAGTCCCTCCACCCTTCCAAGCATGATGTCCCCTTACAAGGACTGGTTCCTTTGCTCAACATGTCCAAAGCATGTAAGATGGAGATTCAAAATCCTTGTTTCCGAGGAACAACTTGGTTTCACCCTCTTCAGGACAGACCTGTTTGTTCTCTTGGCAGTTCATGGTATGTTTAGTATTCTCCAGCACCACAACTCAAAAGCATCCATTCTTCTTCTGTCATCCTTATTTATGGTCCAGCTCTCTGATGGATTGCAAGTGATTATAAAGACTGTGTCCTGGATCAGGTGCATCTTAGTCTCCTGACTGACATCCTTGCTCTTCAGCACTCTGGAGAGGTCCCTGACAGCAGATTTTCCCAGTGCAATTCGTTTTTTAATTTCCTGACTGCTAGAGCCAAGAGCGTTGATTGTGGAACCAAGCAAGCTGAAATTGTTAACAATCTCAATCTTTTCTTCATCTATCATGATGCTGTCTATTGGCCCAGTGGTGAGAATCTTTGTTTTCTTGATATTGAGCTTCAATCCACATAGGAGACTGCAGTCCTTGACCTTCTGCAGCAAATTCTTCAGGTCCTCCTCAGTCTCAGCAAGCAAGGTTGTGTTATCTGCATAACATAGGTTGTTGATGAATCTTCCTCCAATTCTGATGCTACATTCTTCCTTGTAAAGTCCATCTTCCCAGAAGATCTATTCAGCATTTAGATTTTTCAGGTATGGAGACAGGATCCATCTGTGATGCACTCCTTTCCTGATTTTGAACTAGTTCTGATGACTCCTTCCTGGTCCAACGATAGGTTTCTTATGAGCACAACTAAGTGTTCTGGGATTCCTATTCTTCTCAAGGTTAGCCATAATTTGATATGATCCCTGCAGTCAAATACCTTTGCATAGTCAATGAAACAAAGATAGACATTCCTTTGGTACTCTCTGCTTTGAGCCAAGATCCATATGACATTGGCTATGATGTCCACAGTGCTATGGCTTCTCCTAAACCCAGTTCATATTTCTGGTAGTTCTCTGTCAAGTATTGTTCCAATCATTTTTGTTTAATCCTCCACAAGACTTTACTTCTGTGTGATATTGGTGATATTGTTCAATAATTTCCACACTCTGATGGATCACCTCTTTTTGAAATGGGAATAAAGATGAATCTCTTCCAGTCAGTTGGCCAGGTAGTTGTCCTCCAGATTTCCTGGTACAACCTGTTAAGCATTTCCAGGGCTGCATCTGTATATTAGAATGTGTCAGCTGGTATTCTATCAATTCCAGGGCCTTATTTTTTAAATTCCTACAGAGCGGCTCGAATTTCCTTCTTCATCACCATTGCCTTTTGGTCATATATTGATTCTTTAAATTCTCCTGTATGAGCCAATTCTTTTTGATACAGTGACTATACTCCTTCCCTCTTCTTTTAATGCCTCCTGGATAATTCAGTATTCTGCCCATAGCATCTTTAAGTATTGCAACTTGAGACTTGAATTTGCTCGTCAGTTCCTTCAGTTTAAGAAATGCCAACTGAGTTTGTCTCTTTTGGTTTTCTGATTTCAGGTCTTTGCACATTTCATTATAGAATTTTGCTTTGTCTTCTTGAGCTGCCCTTTGAAATTTTCTGTTCAGCTCCTTAACCTCCTAATTCTTTCCCTTTGCCTTGGCTTCTCAGTGCTCCAGTGCAATATTCAGAGTCTCTTCTTATATCCATCTCAGTTTTTTTCTTTGTCATTTGTCTTTGTAATGATTTTTTGCATTCTTTCATGAATGATATTTTTACTATCCTCCCACAGCTCATTTGGTCTTCGTTCATTAGTGTCCAAGGCCTCAAACCTGTTCTAAAGATGGTTTTTAAATTCATGTGGGATAGACTCAAGGTCAAATTTTGGTTCTTGTGGATTTGATTTAATACACTTTAGCTTCAATTTAAACTTGAATAAAATTACTTAATGATCTGCTAGGCAAATAAAAATGTTGTTGGTAGGTGCCTTCAAACCGAGTATGGCTGATAGTGACCCTATGAACAACAGATATGAATCCTGTCATGTCCTGAGCCATTCTCACAATCAATGACACATGCTCGAGCCCATTCCTGCAGTCACTATGTCTATCCATCTCAATAAGGGTATTCCCTCTTTCACTGACCACCTTTCCAAGCATGATGTCCCTTTCCAAGGAATAGCCTTTCCTAGAAACATGCCCAAAGTATATAAGACCATCCTTTCCTCCAAGGAATATGCTGGTAGTACCTTTTCCAAGATATATCTGTGTGCTTCTTTGTCAGTCCATGGGATGGTTAGTGCTCTTCTCCAGCACCACAGTTCAATGGCATTGATCCTTCTTCTGTGATCCTTATTCATTCTCCGGCTGTCAGATGAAGGTGATTGAGAAGACCATGGCTTGAATCAGGTGCACGTTAGTCCTCAAACTGATATAATTATTTTCTTAGTAAAAACTTATGTTTATGATATAGATCACAACATGAATGAACCTTTAAAAGGGCTGACAACCCAGTTTGTATGATTCTATTTCTTTGAAGTGTCAAGAATTGATAATCAATAATGATAGAAGACTCTTGCTGGCAATGAGCTGGAGAAAGGGAACTAGGAAGTAAATAAATATAGTCATGATAGTTGCTTAACTTTGTATCCTAAAAATTATTGAATTTTAAAAATAGTGAATTTTATAAAATATGAATTACCTAAGAAAATAATTGATTTAGGGAAAAAATTGTAAAAAAGATGTTAAAACAAGAATTCAAAAAGATCAAGAAAAGACACCACCAAAATAGAAAACTATAGGCCAATACCTCTCATGAGCATTGATGCAAAAATCCTGAATAAAATACTGGCAAATAGAATCCAACAATACATCAAAGAAATAATTAACCATGATCAAGTGGGATTCATAACAGGTATGCAAGGATGGTTCAACATAAGGAAAACAATTAACATAATTCATCACATTAACAAAGCAAAGAATAAGAACCACATGATCCTATCAATTGATGCAGGAAAGGCCTTTGACAAAATCCAACACCCTTTCCTAATGAAAACACTCAATAAAATAGGACTAGAGGGGAATTTCTTCAACATAGTAAAAAGTATTTATGAAAACCCAAGAGCCAACATTGTTCTCAATGGAGAGAGGTTAAAGGCATTCCCTTTAAGAACAGGAACTAGGCAAGGATGCCC